CAGCAAGTCCACGGGCAAAGATAGAAAATTATGAACTGAGAAAGCATTTAGGCTGACTAATGACTTGTTCCCTGACTATGCCCAAAGAGTTTTAAACCCCTGCTAGCAATTGTTTTGAAAGAAAAAGTGAGGAGGGCATCAAAAAGTCTAGGGTATTTTAAGCTGTATTGAGAGACGTACTGTTAATGTGGCGTGGTCTGCTTCTGCTTCACATCCACTGCTCAGGCCAAATCTGGGACATGGGATTCAGTGTAGGGAAGCACACACTCAAAGGGCTTTAGGACATGTGTAGCAAGAAGAGGAAACAGCATGATGAGAGGACTGGGACTTATGAGGCACAAAGGATGATCGGCGCGATCTGGGTCATTCAGCCTGGAGCAAACTCATTGTGGCAGAAAGGGACGTTGTCACCATCTTCAAATATTTCAAAGCTGTGCTTTGATGAGAGTTACATATTGTTCAGTGTGCCCCAAATGGTATAACTTAGACCAAATGGTTGGAAACTGCAGAGAAACGGATTTCAACTCAAGAAATACTCAGGCAACTCAAGAAAAACTCAAGTGAGAGGAACCTTCCAGCCAGTCTAAAGATACAAAGCAATGCTTGGGAGGTGAGTGTTGACTTTGTAGGTGCACTTGGGTCATATTAGCAAAGACCAGACAGCCAGTGGGAGCAGTAGACGGCATCCAAGGAGCAAAGGGATGGAGTCCATGGAACAAAGCGTGGTTGTTCAGTAAACGTGCGGATGTACTCACTTAAACACTCACAGTTCAAGTGATAAAAAACTAATACATTTCTTTCTGCTAGTAGAATGCTGTGTGAGCTGGGGAGAAAAGAAGGTGCTCTGTGTACTGAGGAAGGTTTTGAGCAAGCCAAATTAGATAGAGTCTTTGAAGAAACACACTTCCCTCTTTTCCGCAGTTCCACAGCTGTTATAAAGATTTAGTTGTTTGAAGAGTTGAAAAACTACTGCTTAATTAACAACCAGTTTGGTTTCAGGAAGGGGAAATCACAACTTAGGGGCTATCTGAGACTGTGGTTTTTATTACTTAAGAGTTTGACACTGTAAATTCATACCAGGCCGTATGCACGCTTATGGACTAGAAACATTGTGGTTTGTTAAAAATATTTTTCTTGCAAGTGATTTGAAAAATGTTATTTTTGATATTTCAGCAAAATGAGCTACTATAACTTCAGTAAAACAGGTTAGCATTCTTAACACAGGGAACCGTAACCTAGCAAAGTTAGGAAAGCAGCAGAGACTGTCCCTCAAGCCCTCCTCCACAGATGCTCCCAAGGTGAGTCCCCCCCAAAAGCCGCACTCTCTCCTGCCTTCCTGTCCTGGTCACATTCCTCCCCAATTTTCTCATCTCTACCTATTCATCTACATCCTTTGAAGCCTGTGGACAGGTACTAGCTCTGTCCAGAAGTACACGTTTTCCCCTGATGGATGTGATCCCTAAAACCCTTTCAAGTCCTCACTGTGCCCCAAGGCCTCACCTGGGCCCTTTCTAACAGTGCAGAGTATGTGCATCTCGTCCCACTGTTGGCTTGCACGCTCACCAGCTCTGGGTCTGCCTTCCTTCCCATTCTTGTATCCTCTTCAATTTGGGGCACACTGGCCTGAACATAGTAGTGACTCCATATTTGTTGAATTTCAATGCCGGGAGTGTCTTTCCTGCTAGAAGATAGGCTCTTTAAGGGTAGGAACAAAACTATAAGCAATTTGTGTATGTTTTAGAGTTTGGGACACAGCGCATCATATATAGTTGACCATCAAATTTTTTTTTCTTTCGGTACGCGGGCCTCTCACTGTCGTGGCCTCTCCCATTGCGGAGCACAGGCTCCGGACGCGCAGGCTCAGCGGCCATGGCTCACGGGCCCAGCCGCTCCGCGGCATGTGGGATCTTCCCGGACCGGGGCACGAACCCACGTCCCCTGCATCAGCAGGCGGACTCTCAACCACTGCGCCACCAGGGAAGCCCTGACCCTCAAGTATTGAATGAATGATGAATAAAAGAATAGAGTGAACAAAGAAATCACATAATCTCTCCAGGTTTGTTCAACTATGAAATAAAGGAATTGAGCTACGTTGTCTCTACAATTCCTTCCAGATCTCAAATGTTATGAGGTTAAGATTCTGTATATTCTAGTATTTCTCTTTTGCACCAGGCAACAAAAAAAGTGAATTTTTGTATCTCCTGAAATTTAATCTAAGAAACCCTTATAACTCTTTTTATACTTTACGTTAAATTTGATGCCAAGTTAATTTCTTTACTCTTGTTTATACCAGAAACCCTTAAGCATCAGAGTGAACTAGAATGTTGCAGTTGCCTTAGAAATTAGCCTGAGTATACAGAAGAATAAAGATTTTAAAGAAAATGTCCAGCAGTGAAAGAACTTTGAAGCTGTTAATGTTTTATTTTTTTTTTAATTTTTTAACTTTTTTTTTTTTTTGTAAAATAGAGCCTCTTTATTGGTACCTGTAAGCTCAGGTACTAGGTATTCCCACAAGCTTGTGGGCTGGCAAGGCCTCCTAGGCAAGAGGGCAGGCCCAGAGCCTGGGCGTCTTGGCACAGACACAGAAAAATGAATAAATTACAGTTCTAATACGCAGGGACAATATAGAAATTATGATGCAAAATTCAACATCTGCAAACAAAGGGCATGAAAGCCATAAGGAGCCACCCCTCGCCCCTGGCCAACTGGCCTTAGGGTACAGGCAGGTGGACCAGGCTGGAGTACGGTGCCTGGAAAGCCCTAAGTGGTCAGGGGCGTGCTACAGGCCCTGGGGCAGCCTCTTGCCCTCTCTGGGCCTCCTACTTCCCCCTCCTACATTGATGGGCTTGGAATAAAAGCTGCGTCCTTTGGGGACGGGGGAGATGGAGCAGAAGACAGGAAGGAGAGGGTTTTTTTTAACTTTTTATTTTGGTTTTTGTTTGTTTTTTAAATTAATTTTATTTATTTTGGCTGTGTTTGGTCTTCGTTGCTTTCTCTAGCTGCAGTGAACGGGGGCTACTCTTCGTTGAGGTGCGTGGGCTTCTCGTTGCTGTGGCTTCTCTTGTTTGGAGCACAGGCTCTAGGCACACGAGCTTTAGTAGTTGAGGCGTGCGAGCTCAGTAGTTGTGGCTCACGTGGCATGTGGGCTTTTCTCAGACCAGAGCTCGAACCCGTGTCCCCTGCATTGTCAGGGGGATTCTTAACCACTGCACCACCGGGGAAGTCCTATTAATGTTTTAGAATTGTGTCACGTATTCTTAGGGGGCAAAGGGTAGACATAATCTGAAATATCCACTCAGGCAGCTCTACAACATTTCCTTTTCGCAAACACCAAGCAATCAGTGTTAGTTATTCCTCAGAACAGTGGCAGAATTCCAAATTATTTGTTTTATTAAGAAGGATTCTGATTGTAGAGCCGTGTTCATAGGAACATTATACACAACAGCCAAAAGGTGGAAGCAATCCAAATGTCCACGACTAGGTAAACAAAGTGTGGTATATATTTACATACAATAGATTATTTTAAAAAGGAAGGAAATTCTGATGTATGCTACAATGTGGATGAACCTTGAAGACATTTTGCTGAGTGAAATAAGTCAGTCACAAGGGACAAATATTGTATGATTCTACTCATATGAGATACCTAGAGTAGTCAAATTCATAGAGACAGACAGTAGCATAGTGGTTCCAGGGGGTAGGGTAAGGAAGAAAGAAGAGTTAGTATTTTATTGGAGGCAGAGTCTGTTTGGGAAGATGAAAAAGATCTGAAGATGAATGGTGGTGACGGCTGCATAGTAATGTGAATGTACTTAATGCCGCTGAAGAACTGTACACTTACAAATGGTTAAAATGGTGAATTTTATATTATTTATAGTTTACCACAAAAAAAAGGAACAACAACTTGGAGCAGGTAAAAGGACAACTGTATCAAGACACAAGAATGAGGGAAGTATAGAATACGTTCTTCTCTGGTCCAAATACTCTGACCGTTATTATCTAGACCAATGAAGTGACTGGCCTTGAATTTGCTAAGGATGCTGTACATGGAGGAGAGCAACAAAGAGGCAGCTGTGAATGAAATAGGGCAAGCTACGGTGATTTCTGTTGCATCGTGAGGAGGAAGGATGAAGAGATAGGTCCTGTTATGTTCAGTACTTAGGGAATGGGCTGTCTTGTGCCCTCCTATTATGGACTGAATTGTGCCCCCATCTCCCACCCCAGCCATTCGTGTGTTGAAGCTTTAACCAACGATGAAATGGTATTTTGAGATGAGGCCTTTGGGAGGTAATTAGGGCTAGCTTAGATCGTGAGGAGGCCCTCATGATGGGATTCACTAATAAGTCCGTTCTTCCTCCCTGCCCCATCCCTGCATGCACACGCCAAGGAAAGGCCATGTGAAGAAATAGCCAGAAGGTGGCCTTCCATAAGCCAGGAAGAGAGCTCTCACCCAGAACCCAATGGAACAGCACCTTGATTTTGGATGTCTAACCTCCAGAATTGTGAGAAATAAAGTTCTCTTGTTTAGGACAGCCACTCTATGGGATTTTGTTATGGCGGCTCCAGCTGGCTCATGCATGTACTAGAGACATGTATGGTAAGAAGGCTTGATATAGTGTCCTGACATGTGCACCCTTGTGGCTGGTTGAAGCAGGATGGACAGTTGAAATACAGCAGACACAGCTCCCACTGTCACATCCAGGTCGAGGTGCCAGGGACTGATGGCTGGTGCTGGAACACACCCACTAAAAGGGCTTGAATTTGTAAAACTTCATCCTTTGCTGTGATCCTGAGGGATCTGGGCCACTCAGCACCTCATTCATAGATACTATGAAAGTCTGTGAGGGAAGGAATCATGGAAATACATGTGCATATTTTTAAAGAGTACAAATAGTATGGGAATATGTTAAAGGAGAAAAGACGAAAAAGAACAGAGCAAAAGGATCAAATGCAGAAGAAAATGTTGGCAGGAGATGTGGAGGGAAAGTGGGAGTAAAACTTGCCAAATGCTTCATGGCCCCCAGCAGCTTTGCATAACATTAAAATGTGACTTTGACTAATTTTCCAACATATTACTTGGCTGCAGAAGTAAGAAACATAAAGAGATAGTCATTTCTGCTCTTGGAAGCCTTCAAAAATAAAAACAGATTTGAAAATGTCAGTGTATCTTTCCAGTTCCACAGACATCGTCTCCAGCCCCTTTTGAGACTGGTCTTAACCCAGAGCAGTTCTGTCCGTTCCAATTAAGCCACATGTTCCATTGAAAACTTGGTCAAGGATATCACAGGCACACGGATGTCTTATCCACAAAGCACCAATTTCCCCCTTTAATTGTTTGCCTGTCAGAATCAATATCTCTCTGGGGTCTGCTTTTGGGGCCCAGCCAATCAGCTCCATTGTGCTGACACAGCTCAGCTTATGCCAAACGGAGCTGCTGCCTCAGTCCCCATTAAGGGAACAAAGCATGCCATCATCCCAGACATCACACCCCATTGCTATGGCAAACATCACTGTGACTTGAAAATCATAGACTGTCAGAAAATGAAGGGGGTCTGGAGACCGTCTCATCCTAGCCCAGCATTCTCCTGAGACAGAAGGGAGCCACCACACAGTGAGCTCCTGACAGAACCTGGACGCACCCGCACCTTCTGATTCTCAGGCCACTTCTATCAGTATTTCTACCCTACCTAGTCCCGCCTTAGCATCAGTTTTTAAATGATCTCTCCATCTGATCACATTGCACATTTACCTTTAATTCTAGACCTAATAAAATGTGATGTACTAGTTGCAAGCTTCCAAGAACCCAAGACACAGAAAAGAAAGAAGAATGGATTAAGGATCACTGGAGACCAAAATTCTGACCGTAAACCAACCTCTTATGAGTGACAGGGCAAAAAAGTGATGTCATTGAAGCAAAGGCAACTGATTATATCAAGGTCATGGTGTGGTGGACATTGTTTTGGCAACACAGCAACTTCTGAACTCAATGCCTGTTTGAGCAATTCCCTTCTGTAGGAACACCTACTCTATTAAACCATTCCAGTAAAGAATCCAAAAAAAAAAGCCAGGTACACACTTTCCCTGGCTCTTACCTAGCTCAGCCTATGCTCCAGCCTCAGACTTTGCTTAAGGGACAGATAACCCAGAGAGGTGAGGTCTGTGGAGGACAGTTCAGCAGTGGCATGAACATCCCTTCTCCAGGCCACAATGGTCCTGGTGTCAAGGGTGGCATCTGGTGTTCCATGGTGATAGCACCACACCTGTCAGGAACCCTAGTAATGTGGTCCCAGAGCCTGGCTGCTTTCTTGCTCAGTGACCAGGTCTCAGTGTTCTTGGTCCCAGGTAGTCCTTTGACTGTGACTGGCCCAGACAAGGCAGCTGAGAATGAAGGACTAGGGTTCTTCTCCGAGAACTTGGCCATAACAATAAGAAACTTGAATATTATGACTTCAGCATACTGTAACATTAATAATTTTTTCAGAGATATAAAATATAGGCAAACTATAGTTTGTCTTTTCCTTTCAAAAGTATTATTAATGAAAAAGTTTGATCACTAATTTGTAGCACAAATCTTCACTTGGATTGTAAATAGTCAGTAAGGATTGATTAACAGAATGTATTAGAGTGATGTGAAATCTCAAAAAAGGTATGGCCATAATTATTCATCTCCGAAGAAGAATCAAATGATCATTAGCCCCCCCAAAAATGTTTTGGAATAGTCAAAGTGATCTCATTTAATGAAATTGGGTAAAATAAATACTCTAATGGATTCCACAGCAATTTTCTTGTGGAATTTGTTATGGGAAGCAAGTGGAAAAGATAGATTCCAGTGGATTCATGCATAAGGAAATACACTTAAAGAAAATGGGTAATTTTATACATCGATAGATTCTGAGTTCAATACAATCTCCAAGAAGAGATTTAGACACATTTGCTGCTATTAGTATATTCAGCAGGTGTCAAGAACAACCAGGCTGTTGGATTAAAGGGAATAATAGTAGTTAATGATGATTGTATTAACACCCTCCCACAGAGCAGGGATTGTATCTTGAAGTAGTTTTCCAAGCAAGAACAGGCTGTAATGGGGGCTGACCTCCGTGGGGCTGGAAAAAAAGATCAGGGAAAAGGGAATGCCGATGGCCTTCTTTTTTCATTTAATCATGGGCACTAACATGGAAAGTCAATTTTGAAAGCGAAGCGAAAGTTGTGATAATGGGCTTTATACCTTCTCAAACAATTACAAGAATGAAAACTCTAAAAAGGGAAGAATACCAGAGAAATACAAATATTTGAGATATTATTTATACTGAGATTAACTAGAACGTTAATATGATGATAAGGTAAAACTTCAAACAGTGGAACTTTCCTGAGCTAGCTTCCTTCAGAAATACAAGTAAAATTTAACTTGCAGGATAATATTTACGTCAGTTATACTGAGGTTACACATTACAGAATAATTTTCTTTAAACAGTTAATAACTGGTTTTTGAGATATGGAAATCCCTTACTTCTGACTTCAATTTACTGCTCTGTTTCTAAACACAGAAATACTGTGTGGTGTAATAAAATGATTGACAAAGGGTGTTCTGTGACCCCCCCCCACTGGGTGTTCTTTGTACTCTTTTCCTAGGCCCATGTGTCTGCAGTGTGTACTCACTTACAAAACTTACAAAGAGCCATATCTTCTGCAAATGCTGCAGCCAGAGGGTTCTTATTTGAAGGATGATTTCACTGCGAAGTAACATCAGTGTGTTGATGAATTTCACTCAACAGTTCCCAGCTACTCTGATGATACCTGTCCGCCATTACAAGTACTGCTTACGCGTTGGGGGGAAAAGTTACCACATGCCAGTGATTAGTATGTATTACTGAACCACTGGAAAAAGTGCAGTCATCTGTAGCAACCATAAATATGGACGGTTAAAAGGATATGCCCCACAATCTCCTCCATGTAGTAAATAAAGTCATGGAACACTGATGGATATGGGTTCAAGCCAAGATATGAGAGAATTTAAAGAGCTGAAGGGTTAACATTCTACCAGAAGCTAACATTCTATCTAAGCACAATGACTGTAATACATTGACTTTTTGACATATAAACTCTGTGTCTTTAATGAATGTTTTCTTATTAACATCCCATTCCTGCAGGAAGGTAGAGCAAAGATGATAGGGCAGGAATCTGATAATACTTTTACTTGTGTGATATCCAGGAAACTCATTTGTATCCTAAGCCACTGAAAGTTTTAAAATTTATATTCTAAATAGATCATCCTAGCAACCGAACAGTGGGTAAATGAAAGGGGGGGCAATATAAGGGAGATTACAAAGGAAAATATTTCAATAGTCTATGTCAAAGATAAGAAAGGCCTGAACGAGTACCATGTGTGTAAGGAAGGAGAGAAAGGGAGTTGTTGTTATTTTAATTTAGGAGTTAAATCTGTCACACTCAATGATTCATTGAAGTATGGACTGGGTGAGAAAAATGAAAGAATCAAGAATAATCCTTGGGTGTTTCAGAGACAGTATTGCTTTGGGTTAGTCAGTGAATGGTGGCAAAATAGATATAAAACAAAGGCTACGAAGCAATAATTAAACTAACTTATGACTACATCGATCTGCATGTTGGCCCTATTGCTTAGTCTTTATCTCTGGGAAAAAGTCAAAGATGAAGTAGGAATAAAATGGGGAGTGACATGGAAAAGGAGTCAGTTCCAAGTCTTCAGGAAAAGTGAAGAGAATATTATTTGGACGCCGTGAGCTTCACTATAGAGGCCAAGGCATCGTGTGATTTAATTGAGGTGCACTGAGCATAAATCTAAAAACCAATTGTCTAGGATGTCCCACACGATGTTGTGCTGATGTGATCAAATAGTAATATCCTGAGCAACTCTTGCCTAGGGATGGTTTAATGGAGGCACATAAAGAGTACCAGGCTTTGGTTCAGTTTGCTGCAATATTCTGTATATATGTGCAGGTGTGCATGTGTATGCTGAGAGAGAGAGAGAGAGAGAGAAGAAACATTGCAACATTTCAGACTAAGCATCTGATTCAGTAACTAAAAGCAAGGACTAAATTTAATCCAGAGCCCAAGGATAGCCCAGTGAAAGCAGTGCAGTGACCAAGTTGTCTAAGACACCATTTATGGACGTCTGTTTTTTCTGGGTCAAGGCTGACCTCACTTGGTGCAAATCCAGCATTCACAATCTCAACCAAATGAAACAAGATGATAAATTAGGTTGCATTTATTTATTTATTTATTTTGACTTTAGTAGTACTTTATTTATTTATTTTTTAACATCTTTATTGGGGTATAATTGCTTTACAATGGTGTGTTAGTTTCTGCTTTATAACAAAGTGAATCAGTTATACATATACATATGTCCCCATATCTCCTCCCTCTTGCGTCTCCCTCCCTCCCACCCTCCCTATCCCACCCCTCCTCACAAAGCACCGAGCTGATATCCCTGTGCTATGCGGCTGCTTCCCACTAGCTAGGTTGCATTTATTTATTTTCCTGAAGAATTAGCCCTGGAATTCCCTTAGTCAGTCTAAAATGATGAAGCCATTTATAAAATTTAATTCATATTCATCTTTTCAGATTACATGTGTTGTGCAAAATGTTTCCAAAACTAGATTTTTTTCCCTTGCCTTACCCAAAAATTTGAAGAGAAAAATTTACAGTAAAATAATTTATGGCAGAAATGTTTTTAAAATGTTGAGGGGTTATTTTTGGGTTATTATACATCCATACTAATCACTCAAATCCTCATGTCTATAGAGTTTTCTAGCAATGGTTATAGGATCTTTGGTTAGCATGCATGCAAAGATAAATTTATATTTGCTAAATTATTCTTATTAAGGCAAATGATATAACACTTATCAGGGTTTCAAACAATGAATTACAAGCTCCTTAGCATGTAAAGAAATGTCTTTACTGGACAATTCTTACAAGGCAAGCACTGAAACAAACAAAATCTCAAGGTTAAAGTTTAATTGGTCAGAAAATTCACGTAACCAGATCATTAGCAACCAGAATTTTGTAGTTAAAAGAGCTTCATGCTTTCTGCTTATTTTAACTTTT